CCAACCTCCCATGCACCCAACCTCCCATGCACCCAACCTCCCATGCACCCAACCTCCCATGCACCCAACCTCCCATGCACCCAACCTCCCATGCACCCAACCTCCCATGCACCCAACCTCCCATGCACCCAACCTCCCATGCACCCAACCTCCCATGCACCCAACCTCCCATGCACCCAACCTCCCATGCGCCCAACCTCCCATGCACCCAACCTCCCATGCACCCAACCTCCCATGCACCCAACCTCCCATGCACCCAACCTCCCATGCGCCCAACCTCCCATGCGCCCAACCTCCCATGCACCCAACCTCCCATGCACCCAACCTCCCATGCACCCAACCTCCCATGCACCCAACCTCCCATGCACCCAACCTCCCATGCACCCAACCTCCCATGCACCCAACCTCCCATGCACCCAACCTCCCATGCACCCAACCTCCCATGCACCCAACCTCCCATGCACCCAACCTCCCATGCACCCAACCTCCCATGCACCCAACCTCCCATGCGCCCAACCTCCCATGCGCCCAACCTCCCATGCACCCAACCTCCCATGCGCCCAACCTCCCATGCACCCAACCTCCCATGCACCCAACCTCCCATGCACCCAACCTCCCATGCACCCAACCTCCCATGCACCCAACCTCCCATGCACCCAACCTCCCATGCGCCCAACCTCCCATGCGCCCAACCTCCCATGCGCCCAACCTCCCATGCACCCAACCTCCCATGCACCCAACCTCCCATGCACCCAACCTCCCATGCACCCAACCTCCCATGCACCCAACCTCCCATGCACCCAACCTCCCATGCGCCCAACCTCCCATGCACCCAACCTCCCATGCACCCAACCTCCCATGCACCCAACCTCCCATGCACCCAACCTCCCATGCGCCCAACCTCCCATGCACCCAACCTCCCATGCACCCAACCTCCCATGCACCCAACCTCCCATGCGCCCAACCTCCCATGCGCCCAACCTCCCATGCGCCCAACCTCCCATGCACCCAACCTCCCATGCACCCAACCTCCCATGCACCCAACCTCCCATGCACCCAATCTCCCATGCACCCAACCTCCCATGCGCCCAACCTCCCATGCGCCCAACCTCCCATGCACCAACCTCCCATGCACCCAACCTCCCATGCACCCAACCTCCCATGCACCCAACCTCCCATGCACCCAACCTCCCATGCACCCAACCTCCCATGCACCCAACCTCCCATGCACCCAACCTCCCATGCACCCAACCTCCCATGCACCCAACCTCCAATGCACCCAACCTCCAATGCACCCAACCTCCCATGCATCCAACCTCCCATGCACCCAACCTCCCATGCGCCCAACCTCCCATGCACCCAACCTCCCATGCGCCCAACCTCCCATGCGCCCAACCTCCCATGCGCCCAACCTCCCATGCGCCCAACCTCCCATGCACCCAACCTCCCATGCACCCAACCTCCCATGCACCCAACCTCCCATGCACCCAACCTCCCATGCACCCAACCTCCCATGCACCCAACCTCCCATGCACCCAACCTCCCATGCACCCAACCTCCCATGCACCCAACCTCCCATGCACCCAACCTCCCATGCACCCAACCTCCCATGCACCCAACCTCCCATGCACCCAACCTCCCATGCACCCAACCTCCCATGCACCCAACCTCCCATGCACCCAACCTCCCATGCACCCAACCTCCCATGCACCCAACCTCCCATGCACCCAACCTCCCATGCACCCAACCTCCCATGCACCCAACCTCCCATGCGCCCAACCTCCCATGCACCCAACCTCCCATGCACCCAACCTCCCATGCACCCAACCTCCCATGCACCCAACCTCCCATGCGCCCAACCTCCCATGCACCCAACCTCCCATGCGCCCAACCTCCCATGCACCCAACCTCCCATGCGCCCAACCTCCCATGCACCCAACCTCCCATGCACCCAACCTCCCATGCACCCAACCTCCCATGCACCCAACCTCCCATGCACCCAACCTCCCATGCACCCAACCTCCCATGCACCCAACCTCCCATGCACCCAACCTCCCATGCACCCAACCTCCCATGCACCCAACCTCCCATGCACCCAACCTCCCATGCACCCAACCTCCCATGCACCCAACCTCCCATGCACCCAACCTCCCATGCACCCAACCTCCCATGCACCCAACCTCCCATGCACCCAACCTCCCATGCACCCAACCTCCCATGCACCCAACCTCCCATGCGCCCAACCTCCCATGCACCCAACCTCCCATGCACCCAACCTCCCATGCACCCAACCTCCCATGCGCCCAACCTCCCATGCGCCCAACCTCCCATGCACCCAACCTCCCATGCGCCCAACCTCCCATGCGCCCAACCTCCCATGTACCCAACCTCCCATGCACCCAACCTCCCATGCGCCCAACCTCCCATGCACCCAACCTCCCATGCACCCAACCTCCCATGCACCCAACCTCCCATGCACCCAACCTCCCATGCAGCCCAACCTCCCATGCACCCAACCTCCCATGCACCCAACCTCCCATGCACCCAACCTCCCATGCACCCAACCTCCCATGCACCCAACCTCCCATGCACCCAACCTCCCATGCACCCAACCTCCCATGCACCCAACCTCCCACGCATGCACCCAACCTCCCATGCGCCCAACCTCCCATGCACCCAACCTCCCATGCACCCAACCTCCCATGCACCCAACCTCCCATGCGCCCAACCTCCCATGCGCCCAACCTCCCATGCACCCAACCTCCCATGCGCCCAACCTCCCATGCGCCCAACCTCCCATGCACCCAACCTCCCATGCGCCCAACCTCCCATGCGCCCAACCTCCCATGCACCCAACCTCCCATGCACCCAACCTCCCATGCACCCAACCTCCCATGCGCCCAACCTCCCATGCACCCAACCTCCCATGCACCCAACCTCCCATGCACCCAACCTCCCATGCACCCAACCTCCCATGCACCCAACCTCCCATGCACCCAACCTCCCATGCACCCAACCTCCCATGCACCCAACCTCCCATGCACCCAACCTCCCATGCACCCAACCTCCCATGCACCCAACCTCCCATGCACCCAACCTCCCATGCACCCAACCTCCCATGCACCCAACCCCATGCACCCAACCTCCCATGCACCCAACCTCCCATGCGCCCAACCTCCCATGCACCCAACCTCCCATGCACCCAACCTCCCATGCACCCAACCTCCCATGCGCCCAACCTCCCATGCGCCCAACCTCCCATGCACCCAACCTCCCATGCACCCAACCTCCCATGCGCCCAACCTCCCATGCACCCAACCTCCCATGCACCCAACCTCCCATGCACCCAACCTCCCATGCACCCAACCTCCCATGCACCCAACCTCCCATGCGCCCAACCTCCCATGCACCCAACCTCCCATGCACCCAACCTCCCATGCACCCAACCTCCCATGCGCCCAACCTCCCATGCGCCCAACCTCCCATGCACCCAACCTCCCATGCACCCAACCTCCCATGCACCCAACCTCCCATGCACCCAACCTCCCATGCGCCCAACCTCCCATGCACCCAACCTCCCATGCGCCCAACCTCCCATGCGCCCAACCTCCCATGCACCCAACCTCCCATGCACCCAACCTCCCATGCACCCAACCTCCCATGCACCCAACCTCCCATGCACCCAACCTCCCATGCACCCAACCTCCCATGCACCCAACCTCCCATGCACCCAACCTCCCATGCACCCAACCTCCCATGCACCCAACCTCCCATGCACCCAACCTCCCATGCACCCAACCTCCCATGCGCCCAACCTCCCATGCACCCAACCTCCCATGCACCCAACCTCCCATGCACCCAACCTCCCATGCACCCAACCTCCCATGCACCCAACCTCCCATGCACCCAACCTCCCATGCACCCAACCTCCCATGCACCCAACCTCCCATGCACCCAACCTCCCATGCACCCAACCTCCCATGCACCCAACCTCCCATGCACCCAACCTCCCATGCACCCAACCTCCCATGCACCCAACCTCCCATGCAGCCCAACCTCCCATGCGCCCAACCTCCCATGCACCCAACCTCCCATGCACCCAACCTCCCATGCCCCAACCTCCCATGCACCCAACCTCCCATGCACCCAACCTCCCATGCACCCAACCTCCCATGCACCCAACCTCCCATGCACCCAACCTCCCATGCACCCAACCTCCCATGCACCCAACCTCCCATGCACCCAACCTCCCATGCACCCAACCTCCCATGCACCCAACCTCCCATGCACCCAACCTCCCATGCACCCAACCTCCCATGCACCCAACCTCCCATGCACCCAACCTCCCATGCACCCAACCTCCCATGCACCCAACCTCCCATGCACCCAACCTCCCATGCACCCAACCTCCCATGCACCCAACCTCCCATGCACCCAACCTCCCATGCGCCCAACCTCCCATGCGCCCAACCTCCCATGCACCCAACCTCCCATGCACCCAACCTCCCATGCGCCCAACCTCCCATGCACCCAACCTCTCATGCACCCAACCTCCCATGCACCCAACCTCCCATGCACCCAACCTCCCATGCACCCAACCTCCCATGCGCCCAACCTCCCATGCGCCCAACCTCCCATGCACCCAACCTCCCATGCACCCAACCTCCCATGCACCCAACCTCCCATGCGCCCAACCTCCCATGCACCCAACCTCCCATGCACCCAACCTCCCATGCGCCCAACCTCCCATGCGCCCAACCTCCCATGCACCCAACCTCCCATGCACCCAACCTCCCATGCACCCAACCTCCCATGCGCCCAACCTCCCATACGCCCAACCTCCCATGCGCCCAACCTCCCATGCGCCACGCCGTTCTCTTCCCCCCCTGGCCCCCCTACCGCGTACCCCATACCCTGCCCCTTATCCCCTGCCCCTTATCCCCTGCCCCTTATCCCCTGCCCCCTGCTTCCCCCCACCCCCGGGGCATGGCGGTGAGCAGGTGGAGCGGGAGGAGGAGGTGATGGAGGCGGTGCTGGTGGGGCGTGGCATGGCGCACTCACTGCTGGGCCACCACCGCCTCGCCCTCTCCGACTTCTCCACCGTGTGTGCCCCCTTGCCACCCACACCTATTGCTGCCAACCTCAGTAGCGCTGCTGCCCCTCACACCAGCGCAGCACTGCTGCTGCTCCCCACACCAGCGCAGCACTGCTGCTGCCCCCCACACCCGTGCTATTGCTGCCAGGTTCAGCCTTGCGCCTGCGAGCCACGACTCTGCTGCTTGTTTACAGGGCAGTTGCTGGAAGGCAGTTGCTGGAAGGCAGTTGCTGGAAGGCAGTTGCTGGAAGGCAGTTGCTGGAAGGCAGTTGCTGGAAGGCAGTTGCTGGAAGGCAGTTGCTGGGGGGCAGTAGTAGGTGCTGTTAAGTCACAGTGGGCTAAGACGTACACATGAGCACACAAGCAAACCACGCTCTGCTTCTCCTCGGACAGCATTGGAACTGCTTTTGTCTGGTCGTCTGGTTTTACTCGAACTGGATACGTTTGAATCGAACTGGTCGAACGGGTTTGTTTAAGTGCCTCGCATGGAGACCCGGGTCGGGTCGGGTCGGGTCAACCTGGTCGGCAACCTGGTCGTATCGAGCCGACCCGATTCGTTGCTCATGCCCAGTTCCCCGTGCCGAGGAGTTTCAAATCGAACCGATGTAACGTGTTTGACTGACTGTCCAGTTCGGCTAACCTGTTGGAATCGGATCGACTCGCACTGGTACATGGTTCGGGCTGCAAGGACAGTCGTACTTCGTTTTTTTAAGGTGTGTTTGTTTATGATTTTCTAAAAAGTGTTGGGGAAGGCATGCCAGCCGTGGTTGAGAAGGGAGGCTGCATGGAATGCCTTGGGATGGAGTTGCATTGCACGCACCATGCGTCAGACTCTCTATACGCTAGAATTGAAGTTTGGCTAAGAGGTGCGGTCAGCTAGAAAACAAACGCTCCTGTGCTGTCATGGCCATGCTGCCTTCCTCGCCTGGCATGCTGTCTCCTGGCATGCTGTTTCCGCATGGCATGCTGTCTCCGCGTGGCGTGCTGTCTCCGCGTGGCATGCTGTCTCCGCGTGGCATGCTGTCTCCGCGTGGCATGCTGTCTCCGCGTGGCATGCTGTCTCCGCGTGGCATGCTGTCTCCGCGTGGCGTGCTGTCTCCGCGTGGCGTGCTGTCTCCGCGTGGCATGCTGTCTCCGCGTGGCATGCTGTCTCCGCGTGGCATGCTGTCTCCGCGTGGCATGCTGTCTCCGCGTGGCATGCTGTCTCCGCGTGGCATGCGGTCTCCGCGTGGCATGCTGTCTCCGCGTGGCATGCTGTCTCCGCGTGGCATGCTGTCTCCGCATGGCATGCTGTCTCCGCGTGGCATGCTGTCTCCGCGTGGCATGCTGTCTCCGCGTGGCATGCTGTCTCCACGTGGCACGCTGTCTCTGCGTGGCATGCTGTCTCCGCGTGGCATGCTGTCTCCGCGTGGCATGCTGTCTCCGCGTGGCATGCTGTCTTCGCGTGGCATGCTGTCTCCACGTGGCATGCTGTCACCGCGTGGCATGCTGTCTCCGCGTGGCATGCTGTCCCGCGTGGCATGCTGTCTCCGCGTGGCATGCTGTCTCCGCGTGGCATGCTGTCCCGCGTGGCAGGGGGTGAAGCTGTTTCCCAGCAATGCGGAGCTTTGGAGGCGACGAGGCTTGCTGCACGCCGGCATGGGCAAGAGGAGAGAGGTGAGCAGCGGTGCATGGCGGCATGGGCAAGAGGAGAGAGGTGAGCAGCGGTGCATGGCGGCATGGGCAAGAGGAGAGAGGTGAGCAGCGGTGCATGGCGGCATGGGCAAGAGGAGAGAGGTGAGCAGCGGTGCATGGCGGCATGGGCAAGAGGAGAGAGGTGAGCAGCGGTGCATGGCCGCATGGGCAAGAGGAGAGAGGTGAGCAGCGGTGCATGGCGGCATGGGCAAGAGGAGAGAGGTGAGCAGCGGTGCATGGCGGCATGGGCAAGAGGAGAGAGGTGAGCAGCGGTGCATGGCGGCATGGGCAAGAGGAGAGAGGTGAGCAGCGGTGCATGGCGGCATGGGCAAGAGGAGAGAGGTGAGCAGCGGTGCATGGCGGCATGGGCAAGAGGAGAGAGGTGAGCAGCGGTGCATGGCGGCATGGGCAAGAGGAGAGAGGTGAGCAGCGGTGCATGGCGGCATGGGCAAGAGGAGAGAGGTGAGCAGCGGTGCATGGCGGCATGGGCAAGAGGAGAGAGGTGAGCAGCGGTGCATGGCGGCATGGGCAAGAGGAGAGAGGTGAGCAGCGGTGCATGGCGGCATGGGCAAGAGGAGAGAGGTGAGCAGCGGTGCATGGCGGCATGGGCAAGAGGAGAGAGATGAGCAGCGGTGCATGGCGGCATGGGCAAGAGGAGAGAGGTGAGCAGCGGTGCATGGCGGCATGGGCAAGAGGAGAGAGGTGAGCAGCGGTGCATGGCGGCATGGGCAAGAGGAGAGAGGTGAGCAGCGGTGCATGGCGGCATGGGCAAGAGGAGAGAGGTGAGCAGCGGTGCATGGCGGCATGGGCAAGAGGAGAGAGGTGAGCAGCGGTGCATGGCGGCATGGGCAAGAGGAGAGAGGTGAGCAGCGGTGCATGGCGGCATGGGCAAGAGGAGAGAGATGAGCAGCGGTGCATGGCGGCATGGGCAAGAGGAGAGAGGTGAGCAGCGGTGCATGGCGGCATGGGCAAGAGGAGAGAGGTGAGCAGCGGTGCATGGCGGCATGGGCAAGAGGAGAGAGGTGAGCAGCGGTGCATGGCGGCATGGGCAAGAGGAGAGAGGTGAGCAGCGGTGCATGGCGGCATGGGCAAGAGGAGAGAGGTGAGCAGCGGTGCATGGCGGCATGGGCAAGAGGAGAGAGATGAGCAGCGGTGCATGGTGGCATGGGCAAGTGGAGAGAGGTGAGCAGCGGTGCATGGCGGCATGGGCAAGAGGAGAGAGGTGAGCAGCGGTGCATGGCAGCATGGCAAGTGGAGGTAAGACATTGAGAGCATTGGCAAGGGGATAGACATGGGAGTGACAAGGGACGAAGACAAGGGAGCACGAGCAGGGTGCAGGAGCAGGGCGAAAGCATTGCTTTCCTTGTCTGGACCCTTTCTGTCATAGCATGCGTCGTCTCATGTTTATTGCATCTTGTGCATCCACACTACACGCACTGGTTGGTGTGTTATGTTGCAGTCAAGTCATCTAGTCAAGCCACGGTGGCTTAGCCACCCACCCACCCACTCATGCCAACCACTCCCATTCATGCAATGCTATGCTATTCCATGCCATGTCATGCCCCGCCGTGCTGTCCCATATCATGCATGCATTTCAATGCCACATCGCCGCACGGCATTGCATGCGGCACGGCACGGCACGGCACGGCACGGCACGGCACGGCACGGCACGGCACGGCATGGTGCATGGCCAGGCGATGGCGGACCTCTCTCGCTCGCTGCACCTCGACCCCACCAACCAAGAGGCGCTGCTGCACCGAGGTGATGCCCACTCACACGCACGGTTTGGAGCGGTGATTAGCGGCCGTGCTGCGGAAATGCGGCCACAATGCAGCCATGCATAGTGCACTCATATTTGTAGAGACGCACATTCTTTCAACGACACACATGGGAAATCGATATGAGATTTGAAGGGTCAGGACATGGTGCCCCACACAGACTTCGTGCCCCACACAGACTTGGTGCCCCACGCAGACTTGGTGCCCCACGCAGACTTGGTGCCCCACACAGACTTGGTGCCCCACACAGACTTGGTGCCGTCTCATTCCTCTCACCCACATAGCCGTAGACGGCCTGGAAAATTACATGTGACATGCGCGGCTCGGGTCGCGCACATCAATCATCTGGCCCGCCCGGGCCAAAAATTGGTCCGGGCCGGCCCGATCAAAAGAGGTAGGCCGTGCCCGGGCTGTCCACATGGCTGGGCCGGCCCGATCAATAGAGGTAGGCCGTGCCCGGGCTGTCCACATGGCTGGGCCGGCCCGATCAATAGAGGTAGGCCGTGCCCGGGCTGTCCACATGGCTGGGCCGGCCCGATCAATAGAGGTAGGCCGTGCCCGGGCTGTCCACATGGCTGGGCCGGCCCGACGCGGGCCCATAGTCTGAGCGTCTCCTGGCCAGGACAGAAAGCACGGCCCTGCCCGCCACCGTGACCCGACTTTTTATTATTCCTAGCGTGTCGGCGTTGTTGTACGTCTGCGGTGGCGGGCGTTGTGTGTATACGTGTTTGCGTTGTGACTGTGTATTAGTGTTGTGAGACCAAAACAGGTGGGCCCAGGTTCAAGGTCGACCCACTCGACTTGAATGGTAACATATTATGAGATGGGTATCCTACACGACACGTAATTGGCGAACTGATTCGGGCCAAAAAGCAATGATGAGTCGCTAGTGATAATTGCCACACTAACATGTAACTGCTGTCACTCTACCAAGTAAAGGATGGCCAGGAATTTTTTCCTGGTCAATTTCGTTTTGGAGGGTACAGAAAATCGTATGGAGGGAGTCGTCTCAATAGACAAAGAGCTGCAGCAACTCTAATCAAGGTTTTGTGGCCAGCCGGGACCGTTTTTGTTATATTCACAATATGCTCAAATGTCACAATAGAGTGCACAGATGCATTTCTGCAGAACGGCTTCAAACTTTAATAGCGGACTGGTCACAACACTAAAATGATGTGCTATATATACGATATGGAGGGCCTTAACACCGTCTACAATAGGCTAGATGTAACATCCATAGAAAAAGAAAACTTACGACGTTATGTAAGCGGCACTATCGTACGAGGTATAGTCTTAAAGCCCAATCTATGAAGAAGCTCGAGTTGGGAATGACTCCAAGCCTTTACAAACCCCAAGAGCCGAGATCCAGTGAAATAAAATAGTGTCACACAGTCCGCAACCATGAAAGGTCACGAACTACCTATCACAAGAGCCTGCACTTCAAGAAATGGTACAGCACACAATGCGATGTACCTATTTTCACTATCCCCGTCTTTTTTTTTTTTTTTTTTTTTTGCGAGCTCCGAAATCTCATGAATCATGACATTAAGGCTCTGCTCCTTCCATGAGTTACTGGAACCTTGCTACTGACACATGCGACACGCCAAATGTTGGACACACGAGAAAATAGAAAAGGCACAACGGCACGCAAACGACAACGTGACACGTAACTAACGAAAACTCGCTAATGGTTTAACACACAGATCTGACATCAAGACTCATCATTCACACCCAAAGAAGCATGAAGTATTGGTCATCTCATGCTCTCATACCATTTAATGCAAACACATACGTACGCGCCGGGACAACAAGCCAAGGGCAAACTTTTGAGGCGAGGGACAACAAGCCAAGGGCAAACCTTTGAGGCGAGGGACAACAAGCCAAGGGCAAACCTTTGAGGCGAGGGACAACAAGCCAAGGGCAAACCTTTGAGGCGAGGGACAACAAGCCAAGGGCAAACCTTTGAGGCGAGGGACAACAAGCCAAGGGCAAACCTTTGAGGCGAGGGACAACAAGCCAAGGGCAAACCTTTGAGGCGAGGGACAACAAGCCAAGGGCAAACCTTTGAGGCGAGGGACAACAAGCCAAGGGCAAACCTTTGAGGCGAGGGACAACAAGCCAAGGGCAAACCTTTGAGGCGAGGGACAACAAGCCAAGGGCAAACCTTTGAGGCGAGGGACAACAAGCCAAGGGCAAACCTTTGAGGCGAGGGACAACAAGCCAAGGGCAAACCTTTGAGGCCCACCTGTTTACTAATAACAAGGCAAGGGCAAACCTTTGAGGCCCACCTGTTTACTAATAACAAGGCAAGGGCAAACCTTTGAGGCCCACCTGTTTACTAATAACAAGGCAAGGGCAAACCTTTGAGGCCCACCTGTTTACTAATAACAAGGCAAGGGCAAACCTTTGAGGCCCACCTGTTTACTAATAACAAGGCAAGGGCAAACCTTTGAGGCCCACCTGTTTACTAATAACAAGGCAAGGGCAAACCTTTGAGGCCCACCTGTTTACTAATAACAAGGCAAGGGCAAACCTTTGAGGCCCACCTGTTTACTAATAACAAGGCAAGGGCAAACCTTTGAGGCCCACCTGTATACTAATAACAAGGCAAGGGAAAACCTTTGAGGCCCACCTGTTTACTAATAACAAGGCAAGGGCAAACCTTTGAGGCCCACCTGTTTACTAATAACAAGGCAAGGGCAAACCTTTGAGGCCCACCTGTTTACTAATAACAAGGCAAGGGCAAACCTTTGAGGCCCACCTGTTTACTAATAACAAGGCAAGTGCAAACCTTTGAGGTCCACCTGTTTACTAATAACAAGGCAAGGGCAAACCTTTGAGGCCCACCTGTTTACTAATAACAAGGCAAGGGCAAACCTTTGAGGCCCACCTGTTTACTAATAACAAGGCAAGGGCAAACCTTTGAGGCCCACCTGTTTACTAATAACAAGGCAAGGGCAAACCTTTGAGGCCCACCTGTTTACTAATAACAAGGCAAGGGCAAACCTTTGAGGCCCACCTGTTTACTAATAACAAGGCAAGGGCAAACCTTTGAGGCCCACCTGTTTACTAATAACAAGGCAAGGGCAAACCTTTGAGGCCCACCTGTTTACTAATAACAAGGCAAGGGCAAACCTTTGAGGCCCACCTGTTTACTAATAACAAGGCAAGGGCAAACCTTTGAGGCCCACCTGTTTACTAATAACAAGGCAAGGGCAAACCTTTGAGGCCCACCTGTTTACTAATAACAAGGCAAGGGCAAACCTTTGAGGCCCACCTGTTTACTAATAACAAGGCAAGGGCAAACCTTTGAGGCCCACCTGTTTACTAATAACAAGGCAAGGGCAAACCTTTGAGGCCCACCTGTTTACTAATAACAAGGCAAGGGCAAACCTTTGAGGCCCACCTGTTTACTAATAACAAGGCAAGGGCAAACCTTTGAGGCCCACCTGTTTACTAATAACAAGGCAAGGGCAAACCTGTTTACTAATAACAAGGCAAGGGCAAACCTGTTTACTAATAACAAGGCAAGGGCAAACCTGTTTACTAATAACAAGGCAAGGGCAAAGCTTTGAGGCGAGGGACAACAAGGCAAGGGCAAACCTTTGAGGCCCACCTGTTTACTAATAACAAGGCAAGGGCAAACCTGTTTACTAATAACAAGGCAAGGGCAAACCTGTTTACTAATAACAAGGCAAGGGCAAACCTGTTTACTAATAACAAGGCAAGGGCAAAGCTTTGAGGCGAGGGACAACAAGGCAAGGGCAAACCTTTGAGGCCCACCTGTTTACTAATAACAAGGCAAGGGCAAACCTGTTTACTAATAACAAGGCAAGGGCAAACCTGTTTACTAATAACAAGGCAAGGGCAAACCTGTTTACTAATAACAAGGCAAGGGCAAACCTGTTTACTAATAACAAGGCAAGGGCAAAGCTTTGAGGCGAGGGACAACAAGGCAAGGGCAAACCTTTGAGGCCCACCTGTTTACTAATAACAAGGCAAGGGCAAACCTGTTTACTAATAACAAGGCAAGGGCAAACCTGTTTACTAATAACAAGGCAAGGGCAAACCTGTTTACTAATAACAAGGCAAGGGCAAACCTGTTTACTAATAACAAGGCAAGGGCAAAGCTTGACTTGAAGTTGCATCAACATTCGTGTCGAACCGGTTCAGCTCTATGCGCTTCTGCTGGTTCAATTTGAAAGAATTCGAACAGTTTGACTCGAACCAGTAGCGGGTCGAGTTGAACCTTTGGCAGAAACACATTGCATATTGGTTCTTTGCTCAACTTGGGAGTTTTTGTTGCGGTGGTGCTGCATGCACGTGGTGTCATGGCAGGCACGCTGCACTTCCACGCTCACGATTACTGGGCCGCCATCCGCGACTTCTCCACTCTGCTCGATGCACGCCCGCCCGACCCACTTCTATTTAACGCCCTCGTGCGTAAGCCTGTAAAGGAATATTCAGTCTTCCAGAATTATTCGATGTTCGAATACCTGAATATGAAAGAATAGGAAACGACCGTGTATTTGAAAACATTCGCATCACGAGTGCTCGTTGATGTAGAATATTTGGGAAACGAGTATTTGGGGTATTCGTGACTATTTGGGGTATTCGTTACTATTTGGGGTATTCGTTACTATTTGGGGTATTCGTTACTATTTGGTATTCTACCATCAACCCCCCCTCAGGCTTTCCCTACATGCGGCTATCATCTTTAGCAATCAATGTACAAGCGGCCTCATGAGGGCCATGCCCAAAAGTCGAGCACGATAGTTGCTGGTGAGGGGTTAGGGAAAGCGCGTGATGCGGGATTGAATCGTGTTGTTGGTAGTATAAGGTACAATGTATCACCCTGTGTCGAACATGCAATAGCTGTTCGACACTGCCTATACAAAAATCATTATTCGTCACTTAATCGTATTCAATTCAGATTCGACAGTATTCGAATCATATTCGTATTCGTTTTTAGGTCAGTATTTGGTAAAATTAGAAACCAGACAGTATTTGGAAAATATTCAGAATTTTGTTTCGAATTCGTCTTCATATTCGTTTTTACAGGCTTACGTGCGCTCCTGTGCTGGCCCCTCTCGGCCCATCCACACACGCCCACTTTCGCGTCTCTGCTTGCATGTGCACCTCCCACGTGTTCCCTCGCTATCATTGCTTGCTGCCTCTATGACCGTGCTTCAGCACAACGCCCCATGCGCTATGCAGCATGATGGGGGCCACACCATATTCGTTCAGCACTAGGTGCTTCTCATGTTTTTTGCCACTTCTACTCACCCTTTCAAATGCCACCTCTCATCATTCATGTTCTCGCGTGCCACTTCTCGTCATTCATCTTCTCGCCTCCTCTATATTGCCACTCCTCTGCTCCGCTTCCACGTCCCCATTACCCCCTTGTCTCTTGCACGCAGGGTTTGGCGCTAGCAGGGGCGGGGGAGTGGCGGCGGGCAGCGGAGGTGTTTGAGCGCGGGGCGGCGCTCTTCCCGCGGGCCGTGCAGCTGTGGCTGGAGGGCGGCCGCGCCTTCAAGGAGCTGGGCGCCGTGCAGCCCGCGCTGCATGCGCTCGAACGAGCCGTCGCCCTGGAGGAGTGAGACACGGGCAAGGGGGCCTTTGGCAGGGAAACATGGGCAAGGGGGCCTTTGGCAGTGAAACATGGGCAAGGGAGCCTTTGGCAGGGAAACATGGGCAAGGGGGCCTTTGGCAGGGAAACATGGGCAAGGGGGCCTTTGGCAGGGAAACATGGGCAAGGGGGCCTTTGGCAGGGAAACATGGGCAAGGGGGCCTTTGGCAGGGAAACATGGGCAAGGGAGCCTTTGGCAGGGAAACATGGGCAAGGGGGCCTTTGGCAGGGAAACATGGGCAAGGGGGCCTTTGGCAGGGAAACATGGGCAAGGGGGCCTTTGGCAGGGAAACATGGGCAAGGGAGCCTTTGGCAGGGAAACATGGGCAAGGGGGCCTTTGGCAGGGAAACATGGGCAAGGGGGCCTTTGGCAGGGAAACATGGGCAAGGGAGCCTTTGGCAGGGAAACATGGGCAAGGGGGCCTTTGGCAGGGAAACATGGGCAAGGGGGCCTTTGGCAGGGAAACATGGGCAAGGGGGCCTTTGGCAGGGAAACATGGGCAAGGGGGCCTTTGGCAGGGAAACATGGGCAAGGGGGCCTTTGGCAGGGAAACATGGGCAAGGGGGCCTTTGGCAGGGAAACATGGGCAAGGGGGCCTTTGGCAGGGAAACATGGGCAAGGGGGCCTTTGGCAGGGAAACATGGGCAAGGGAGCCTTTGGCAGGGAAACATGGGCAAGGGGGCCTTTGGCAGGGAAACATGGGCAAGGGGGCCTTTGGCAGGGAAACATGGGCAAGGGGGCCTTTGGCAGGGAAACATGGGCAAGGGGGCCTTTGGCAGGGAAACATGGGCAAGGGGGCCTTTGGCAGGGAAACATGGGCAAGGGGGCCTTTGGCAGGGAAACATGGGCAAGGGAGCCTTTGGCAGGGAAACATGGGCAAGGGGGCCTTTGGCAGGGAAACATGGGCAAGGGGGCCTTTGGCAGGGAAACATGGGCAAGGGAGCCTTTGGCAGGGAAACATGGGCAAGGGGGCCTTTGGCAGGGAAACATGGGCAAGGGAGCCTTTGGCAGGGAAACATGGGCAAGGGAGCCTTTGGCAGGGAAACATGGGCAAGGGGGCCTTTGGCAGGGAAACATGGGCAAGGGGGCCTTTGGCAGGGAAACATGGGCAAGGGAGCCTTTGGCAGGGAAACATGGGCAAGGGGGCCTTTGGCAGGGAAACATGGGCAAGGGAGCCTTTGGCAGGGAAACATGGGCAAGGGGGCCTTTGGCAGGGAAACATGGGCAAGGGAGCCTTTGGCAGGGAAACATGGGCAAGGGGGCCTTTGGCAGGGAAACATGGGCAAGGGAGCCTTTGGCAGGGAAACATGGGCAAGGGGGCCTTTGGCAGGGAAACATGGGCAAGGGGGCCTTTGGCAGGGAAACATGGGCAAGGGGGCCTTTGGCAGGGAAACATGGGCAAGGGGGCCTTTGGCAGGGAAACATGGGCAAGGGAGCCTTTGGCAGGGAAACATGGGCAAGGGGGCCTTTGGCAGGGAAACATGGGCAAGGGGGCCTTTGGCAGGGAAACATGGGCAAGGGGGCCTTTGGCAGGGAAACATGGGCAAGGGAGCCTTTGGCAGGGAAACATGGGCAAGGGGGCCTTTGGCAGGGAAACATGGGCAAGGGGGCCTTTGGCAGGGAAACATGGGCAAGGGAGCCTTTGGCAGGGAAACATGGGCAAGGGGGCCTTTGGCAGGGAAACATGGGCAAGGGGGCCTTTGGCAGGGAAACATGGGCAAGGGGGCCTTTGGCAGGGAAACATGGGCAAGGGGGCCTTTGGCAGGGAAACATGGGCAAGGGGGCCTTTGGCAGGGAAACATGGGCAAGGGGGCCTTTGGCAGGGAAACATGGGCAAGGGGGCCTTTGGCAGGGAAACATGGGCAAGGGGGCCTTTGGCAGGGAAACATGGGCAAGGGGGCCTTTGGCAGGGAAACATGGGCAAGGGAGCCTTTGGCAGGGAAACATGGGCAAGGGAGCCTTTGGCAGGGAAACATGGGCAAGGGGGCCTTTGGCAGGGAAACATGGGCAAGGGGGCCTTTGGCAGGGAAACATGGGCAAGGGGGCCTTTGGCAGGGAAACATGGGCAAGGGGGCCTTTGGCAGGGAAACATGGGCAAGGGGGCCTTTGGCAGGGAAACATGGGCAAGGGGGCCTTTGGCAGGGAAACATGGGCAAGGGGGCCTTTGGCAGGGAAACATGGGTAAGGGGGCCTTTGGCAGGGAAACATGGGCAAGGGAGCCTTTGGCAGGGAAACATGGGCAAGGGGGCCTTTGGCAGGGAAACATGGGCAAGGGGGCCTTTGGCAGGGAAACATGGGCAAGGGAGCCTTTGGCAGGGAAACATGGGCAAGGGGGCCTTTGGCAGGGAAACATGGGCAAGGGAGCCTTTGGCAGGGAAACATGGGCAAGGGGGCCTTTGGCAGGGAAACATGGGCAAGGGAGCCTTTGGCAGGGAAACATGGGCAAGGGGGCCTTTGGCAGGGAAACATGGGCAAGGGAGCCTTTGGCAGGGAAACATGGGCAAGGGGGCCTTTGGCAGGGAAACATGGGCAAGGGAGCCTTTGGCAGGGAAACATGGGCAAGGGGGCCTTTGGCAGGGAAACATGGGCAAGGGGGCCTTTGGCAGGGAAACATGGGCAAGGGGGCCTTTGGCAGGGAAACATGGGCAAGGGAGCCTTTGGCAGGGAAACATGGGCAAGGGGGCCTTTGGCAGGGAAACATGGGCAAGGGAGCCTTTGGCAGGGAAACATGGGCAAGGGGGCCTTTGGCAGGGAAACATGGGCAAGGGGGCCTTTGGCAGGGAAACATGGGCAAGGGGGCCTTTGGCAGGGAAACATGGGCAAGGGAGCCTTTGGCAGGGAAACATGGGCAAGGGGGCCTTTGGCAGGGAAACATGGGCAAGGGGGCCTTTGGCAGGGAAACATGGGCAAGGGAGCCTTTGGCAGGGAAACATGGGCAAGGGGGCCTTTGGCAGGGAAACATGGGCAAGGGGGCCTTTGGCAGGGAAACATGGGCAAGGGGGCCTTTGGCAGGGAAACATGGGCAAGGGGGCCTTTGGCAGGGAAACATGGGCAAGGGGGCCTTTGGCAGGGAAACATGGGCAAGGGAGCCTTTGGCAGGGAAACATGGGCAAGGGGGCCTTTGGCAGGGAAACATGGGCAAGGGAGCCTTTGGCAGGGAAACATGGGCAAGGGGGCCTTTGGCAGGGAAACATGGGCAAGGGGGCCTTTGGCAGGGAAACATGGGCAAGGGAGCCTTTGGCAGGGAAACATGGGCAAGGGGGCCTTTGGCAGGGAAACATGGGCAAGGGGGCCTTTGGCAGGGAAACATGGGCAAGGGAGCCTTTGGCAGGGAAACATGGGCAAGGGGGCCTTTGGCAGGGAAACATGGGCAAGGGAGCCTTTGGCAGGGAAACATGGGCAAGGGGGCCTTTGGCAGGGAAACATGGGCAAGGGAGCCTTTGGCAGGGAAACATGGGCAAGGGGGCCTTTGGCAGGGAAACATGGGCAAGGGGGCCTTTGGCAGGGAAACATGGGCAAGGGAGCCTTTGGCAGGGAAACATGGGCAAGGGGGCCTTTGGCAGGGAAACATGGGCAAGGGGGCCTTTGGCAGGGAAACATGGGCAAGGGGGCCTTTGGCAGGGAAACATGGGCAAGGGGGCCTTTGGCAGGGAAACATGGGCAAGGGAGCCTTTGGCAGGGAAACATGGGCAAGGGGGCCTTTGGCAGGGAAACATGGGCAAGGGAGCCTTTGGCAGGGAAACATGGGCAAGGGAGCCTTTGGCAGGGAAACATGGGCAAGGGGGCCTTTGGCAGGGAAACATGGGCAAGGGAGCCTTTGGCAGGGAAACATGGGCAAGGGGGCCTTTGGCAGGGAAACATGGGCAAGGGAGCCTTTGGCAGGGAAACATGGGCAAGGGGGCCTTTGGTAGGGAAACATGGGCAAGGGAGCCTTTGGCAGGGAAACATGGGCAAGGGGGCCTTTGGCAGGGAAACATGGGCAAGGGAGCCTTTGGCAGGGAAACATGGGCAAGGGGGCCTTTGGCAGGGAAACATGGGCAAGGGAGCCTTTGGCAGGGAAACATGGGCAAGGGGGCCTTTGGCAGGGAAACATGGGCAAGGGAGCCTTTGGCAGGGAAACATGGGCAAGGGAGCCTTTGGCAGGGAAACATGGGCAAGGGGGCCTTTGGCAGGGAAACATGGGCAAGGGAGCCTTTGGCAGGGAAACATGGGCAAGGGGGCCTTTGGCAGGGAAACATGGGCAAGGGGGCCTTTGGCAGGGAAACATGGGCAAGGGAGCCTTTGGCAGGGAAACATGGGCAAGGGGGCCTTTGGCAGGGAAACATGGGCAAGGGGGCCTTTGGCAGGGAAACATGGGCAAGGGGGCCTTTGGCAGGGAAACATGGGCAAGGGAGCCTTTGGCAGGGAAACATGGGCAAGGGGGCCTTTGGCAGGGAAACATGGGCAAGGGAGCCTTTGGCAGGGAAACATGGGCAAGTGGGCCTTTGGCAGGGAAACATGGGCAAGGGAGCCTTTGGCAGGGAAACATGGGCAAGGGGGCCTTTGGCAGGGAAACATGGGCAAGGGAGCCTTTGGCAGGGAAACATGGGCAAGGGGGCCTTTGGCAGGGAAACATGGGCAAGGGGGCCTTTGGCAGGGAAACATGGGCAAGGGAGCCTTTGGCAGGGAAACATGGGCAAGGGGGCCTTTGGCAGGGAAACATGGGCAAGGGAGCCTTTGGCAGGGAAACATGGGCAAGGGGGCCTTTGGCAGGGAAACATGGGCAAGGGAGCCTTTGGCAGGGAAACATGGGCAAGGGGGCCTTTGGCAGGGAAACATGGGCAAGGGAGCCTTTGGCAGGGAAACATGGGCAAGGGGGCCTTTGGCAGGGAAACATGGGCAAGGGAGCCTTTGGCAGGGAAACATGGGCAAGGGGGCCTTTGGCAGGGAAACATGGGCAAGGGGGCCTTTGGCAGGGAAACATGGGCAAGGGAGCCTTTGGCAGGGAAACATGGGCAAGGGGGCCTTTGGCAGGGAAACATGGGCAAGGGAGCCTTTGGCAGGGAAACATGGGCAAGGGGGCCTTTGGCAGGGAAACATGGGCAAGGGGGCCTTTGGCAGGGAAACATGGGCAAGGGAGCCTTTGGCAGGGAAACATGGGCAAGGGGGCCTTTGGCAGGGAAACATGGGCAAGGGGGCCTTTGGCAGGGAAACATGGGCAAGGGGGCCTTTGGCAGGGAAACATGGGCAAGGGAGCCTTTGGCAGGGAAACATGGGCAAGGGAGCCTTTGGCAGGGAAACATGGGCAAGGGAGCCTTTGGCAGGGAAACATGGGCAAGGGAGCCTTTGGCAGGGATACATGGGCAAGGGGGCCTTTGGCAGGGAAACATGGGCAAGGGGGCCTTTGGCAGGGAAACATGGGCAAGCGAGCCTTTGGCAGGGAAACATGGGCAAGGGGGCCTTTGGCAGGGAAACATGGGCAAGGGGGCCTTTGGCAGGGAAACATGGGCAAGGGGGCCTTTGGCAGGGAAACATGGGCAAGGGGGCCTTTGGCAGGGAAACATGGGCAAGGGGGCCTTTGGCAGGGAAACATGGGTAAGGGGGCCTTTGGCAGGGAAACATGGGCAAGGGAGCCTTTGGCAGGGAAACATGGGTAAGGGGGCCTTTGGCAGGGAAACATGGGCAAGGGAGCCTTTGGCAGGGAAACATGGGCAAGGGGGCCTTTGGCAGGGAAACATGGGCAAGGGAGCCTTTGGCAGGGAAACATGGGCAAGGGGGCCTTTGGCAGGGAAACATGGGCAAGGGGGCCTTCGGCAGGGAAACATGGGCAAGGGGGCCTTTGGCAGGGAAACATGGGCAAGGGAGCCTTTGGCAGGGAAACATGGGCAAGGGGGCCTTTGGCAGGGAAACATGGGCAAGGGGGCCTTTGGCAGGGAAACATGGGCAAGGGAGCCTTTGGCAGGGAAACATGGGCAAGGGGGCCTTTGGCAGGGAAACATGGGCAAGGGAGCCTTTGGCAGGGAAACATGGGCAAGGGGGCCTTTGGCAGGGAAACATGGGCAAGGGAGCCTTTGGCAGGGAAACATGGGCAAGGGGGCCTTTGGCAGGGAAACATGGGCAAGGGAGCCTTTGGCAGGGAAACATGGGCAAGGGGGCCTTTGGCAGGGAAACATGGGCAAGGGAGCCTTTGGCAGGGAAACATGGGCAAGGGAGCCTTTGGCAGGGAAACATGGGCAAGGGGGCCTTTGGCAGGGAAACATGGGCAAGGGAGCCTTTGGCAGGGAAACATGGGCAAGGGGGCCTTTGGCAGGGAAACATGGGCAAGGGAGCCTTTGGCAGGGAAACATGGGCAAGGGAGCCTTTGGCAGGGAAACATGGGCAAGGGGGCCTTTGGCAGGGAAACATGGGCAAGGGAGCCTTTGGCAGGGAAACATGGGCAAGGGAGCCTTTGGCAGGGAAACATGGGCAAGGGGGCCTTTGGCAGGGAAACATGGGCAAGGGGGCCTTTGGCAGGGAAACATGGGCAAGGGAGCCTTTGGCAGGGAAACATGGGCAAGGGGGCCTTTGGCAGGGAAACATGGGCAAGGGAGCCTTTGGCAGGGAAACATGGGCAAGGGGGCCTTTGGCAGGGAAACATGGGCAAGGGGGCCTTTGGCAGGGAAACATGGGCAAGGGAGCCTTTGGCAGGGAAACATGGGCAAGGGGGCCTTTGGCAGGGAAACATGGG